TCATCCCCCTGCTCTCTTGTCCCCTTCCCCCTTTTTACTGTAGGGTAAGTCAGATTTCCACCCAATTGAATGTGTATGTTATTCCTTAAGCCAAATCCTATGAGAAATGATTCACTCATTCCCTCTCACCTTCCCCTGCTTTCCCTCCACTGTAAGAGACTTTTCTTTTCTGTTTTTTGTGAGATAATTTACCCCATTCTACCTCTCCCTTTCTTCTTCTCTGAGTATCATCCTCTCTCATCCCTTAATTTATTCTCCAGATATGACCCTTTAATCTTCAACTCACCCTGTGCCCTGTATCTATCTATCTATCTATATATACATACATATATTTTTTTCCTTCAACTACCCTAATACTGATAAAGGTCTCATGAGTTATAAATATCATCTTTCCATGCAGGAATGCAAACAGTCAATCTTATGATTTCTCTTTCCTGTTACCTCTTCATGTTCCACTTGAGTCGTATTTGAAAGTCAAATTTTCTATTCAGCTCTGGTCTTTTCATCAGGAATGCTTGAAAGTCCTCTATTTCACTGAATGACCATTTTTCCCTGAAGGATTATACTCAGTTTTTGCTGGGTAGGTGATTCTTGTTGTAATCCTATCACCTTTGCCCTCTGGAATATTATATTCATGCCCTGTGGTCCTTTAATGTAGATGCTGCTAAGTCTTGTGTTATCCTGATTGTGTTTCCACACACTTGAATTGTTTCTTCTGGCAGCTTGTAATATTTTCTCCTTGACCTGGGAACTCTGGAATTTGGCTATAATATTCTAGAGTTTTCCTTTGGGGATCTCTTTCAGGAGGAATGGTGGATTCTTTCAATTTCTATTTTGCCCTCTGGTTCTAATATATCAGGGCAGTTTACCTGATAATTTTTGAAAGATGATGTCTAGGCTCTTTTTTTGATCATGGCTTCAGATAGTCCAATAATTTTTAAATTCTCTCTCCTGATCTATTTTCCAGGTCAGTTGTTTTTCCAATGAGATATTTCACATTGTTTTCTAATTTTTCATTCTTTTGCATTTGTTTTACAGTGTCTTGATTTCTCATAAAGTCACTAGCTTCCAATTGCTCTATCCTAATTTTTAAGGAAGTATTTTCTTCATTGAGCAGTTGGACTTCCTTTTCCATTTGGCCAATTTTCTTTTTAGGGCGTTTTTCTCCTCATTGGCTTTTTGTACCTCTTTTGCCATTTGGTTAGGCTATTTTTTAAGGTGTTATTTTCTTCAGCATTTTTTTGGGTCTCCTTTAGCAAGCTGTTGACTTGTTTTTCATGATTTTCTTGCATCACTCTCATTTCTCTTCCCACTTTTTCCTCTACTTCCCTTACTTGCTTCTCAAAATCCTCTTTGAGCTCTTCCAAGGCCTGAGACTGATTTATATTTTTCTGGAGGCTTTGGATGTGGGAGCTTTGACTTTGTTGTCTTTTCTGGTTGTATATTTTGATCTTCTTTTCACCAAAGTAAGTAATATACTCTGACTCTTTTTGTGCTGCTTCCTCATGATCCCGGCCAATTACTTGAGTTTTAAACTCTTTGTTAACGTAAGAGTCTGCTTCCAATGTGGAGAATGTACTGTCCCAAGCTTCTGCGGTTTGTATGGATGTTTTCAGAGATACTTTTAGGGAACTTTAAATTTTCAGTTCTTCCAAGGTGGTATGATAAGGGGCAAGGTGTTTACTCCTTTCCTGGCCTGTGACCACAAGTACTCCTTTCTGTCCATAACTGTGAGGAGGGGCTTCTCTCCACAGCCACTACAAGCTCCTCCATGCCATAGCTCCTCTTCACCCCAGCAATGCCCCTAGAACTATGACCCAGATCTAAACAAGGTAAAGCAAGAGATTCCTGCCCAGCACTGGCAAAGATATCCCTGCAGTCCCTTTCTGATCAGCCACTAGATTCCCCCTCAGTCTGTGGGCCAAAGGCTAGGGAACCCGCTGCCCCACCCCCAGGGCCATGCTCTTGGGGAATGGAGCTGAAACCTTGCCTTCCTCTCTGAGCACCACAGAAACAAACTTTTCCCACTGACCTTCTAAGTTGTCTTTGGCAACTGGGATTGAGCCGTCTGGAAACTGCCACAGCTGCCCACAATTCAGTCTTCTGAGGCCTGCTCCAGGTTTGCTGGGGCCTGTGCCCCACACTGTGTTGCACTGTGCTCCCAGCCTGGTGCAATACGCCTTTCTGATCAATCATCCAGGTTGTCTTGGGTTGGAAATTTGTTATTCTGTCTTTTTGCGGGTTCTGGTGCTTGAGAATTTGTTTAGAGCCATTTTTTTGAGTATTTGGAGGAGAGCTTAAGCAAGTCACTGCTTTCACTCTGCCATCTTGGCTCCACCCCCAAAAATCTCTTCTTTTTAGTGCTCTGTTTGCTGCATCAGCCTCTGTGCATTTTGGGTCTTATCACTTCTGTCACTTTTATGAACTCTGACATGCTCCTTTTACTCATCCTTGCCTTGAAAAATCTAAGTTCATTGGTGAATTTTATAATAATAATATCTATTTTTTATAAAGTACTTTGAAGTTTGCTTTACATAGATGAGCTTATTTAGCCTTTAAAACAACTCTCTGGGAATAGTTGCTATTATTATCCTCATTTTACAAGTGAGGAAACTAAGTCTTAAAGAGACCTGGTTCACTAGGTGACGCAGCAAATAAATTTGTGAATCAGGATTTGTATAAAGGTTTTCCTGACTTCAGGTCTAGCAGTCTCCTTACTGCACCAGCTGGCTACCTTATCCACATTGGTATCTTTAGAGAATGTTCCTTTTTCTTCCATCACCAGAATTCTTTTTCTTTGTGTATTGAGAAACTTAACTCTTGTCTTTCTTGGTGATAATAATAATAGCTGGCATTAAGGTTTGTCAAACAATTTACACGTTATCACTTTTCATTCTGATAACAATGCTGAAATGTAGGTGTTGTTATCATGCTCATTTTACAAATAAGGAAACTGAGTCTAGGACAGGGTAAGTGATTTGGCCAGGGTTACATAGCTAGTGAGTGTTTGAGGCCTGATCAGTTCCTTCTGACTCCAAGTATTGTACTCTCCCCATTGGGCCACTTAGTTGATCCTGTATAAACTCTAAGATGGACGGTCACTTTCCCAAAAATTCCCCTTATTACATCCATAAATGTGCACTGAAAGTGTGTAAAGTGTGATTGCATATCCTGCAACACAGCATGATCCCTCCAGAGGAAGAATGCTGTGCCACAGGGGATCTGCAGATCTCTATTTACATCTTTGTTATCCAAGTTCCTCTCAGATGGTGAGAACTGGTTCCAGTATAATTGCAGGATGAAATTATCATTAAGAAAAGTCATGGAATTACAAACTGCTCTGTTTTTGACAGAAGTGAAACTTGACGATATGAATGGATATTGAAGTCTTCTGTCGCTGCTATATCATGTCTAACCTCCAGAGCTTATAATTTGTTTTCTGTATTCCTTGTCAAGTTTTTTCCGTCCAAATGGTCTGTAGCATATTGTAATGGCAATGCCAGTTTTGATGTTGCCTCCATTTCTCTTTACCTAGATGCTTCTCATCATTCTTCTTTCCTCTGCTTCCTAAATAATCACATGAGTGTTCTTCTTAATATATACTACCCCACTCTCTTTTTCCTATCTGCTTTCTTTTGAATAAGTTATAGCTTTCCAGGACTTCAGTCTTCAAGCATCTCATCATACCAAGCCCTATTTATGCCTTTGAGGTCTTAAAATCCCCAATCCACCTTTTTTAAATAGTACTTAAGCATTAAAAAAGCCTTTTGACTATATTTGTAATGAATCAAAATAATCATCTTTCCAACCTTTGCTAGATGCATCATTCCACTCCTGTTCAGGAGTTCATCATGTCTGTATTTTTATTAAGATGTGGTCCAGAAATCCAAATCCCATGTTTAAACACCCTCTTACAAGATGTCCACTTCTGAAATCTGCCTTTCCTTTCTGAATCTTTTGTTTCCAATGACAACCATAACGAATACACCACCTGTGCTCCTAAAGTCTTTAGGGTTTTTTCCCTTAATGTCAAAACCTTTGGAAATGCTTCCCAGATTGTTTGGTAGTATCATAATTTTTGCTCATGTGAATCACCAGATGTGTGTAGTAGTTGTCCCCTTTGTTTTGTAAGGTTCTCCACTATCTCTTGGACATATGCTCTTGTAATATGGCAGAACTATCTATTTATTTTGTGTGTGTGTGTGTGTGAAGCGATGAGGTTAAGTGACTTCCCCAGGGTCACACAGCTAGTAAGTGTTATGTGTCTGATGCCGATTTGAACTCAGGTCCTCCTGACTTCAGGTCGGTGCTCTTTCCACTGTGCTACCTCGCTGCCCCAGAACTATCCATTTTAGTTATTGTCAGCAAACAACTGTTTCAGTATCCTTCTACAGGGAGTCACCAACCATTATTCTTTTCTTCTTCCTGGATGCCTTGCCAGATAACACCTGTGAACTTCCTTTACCATTCTTTAGACTACAAACAAGTGCTTCTTCCTCAGAACATCTTGTTTCTTCATCTTCAAGAAGAGCTCCCAACTTGTTTATCAGCTCTTGCCTTATTCTTCTGTGTGACATTATGTTATTCTTCAACATCCTGATACAGGTCACAATTAATTTCTGTCTCTTCAGATCATCTGGAATCTGCTTATCTTATCCATGATGTGTGCTTCTTGTCCACCCAAGCAGCTCTTTCCTCTTTTGATAGATCTAATGATTGAAAGCTACTTTATTAACTTTTTAAAACCTGAAATCTCCCTCCTTCTGTATTTTACTCATCAGTACTGATTCTGCTCCTCAAGTGTCAAAATTCAGTTTCATCTCTCATAATAGTGTTGTAGACTTTCTAACTTACTATCAGCAGAATATTTAAAAAGATTGGCTCTTTCCATACTTAAAAATCAGGGGTTTTGACTAGGTGATAGTTCTAAATTCTCTTTCAGCTCCAATTCTATGGTTCTTATTTTCTAATTATTTATTTGTATCTCTTTTTTCAGGGAACCACCATCGTGCCATTGCTGTCTTCTATTCTGCATGATGATGAAGAGTTCCCTAATCCAGACCAGTTTGACCCAGGTCACTTCCTGGATGAAAGTGGCAACTTTAAGAAGAGCGACTATTTCATGCCTTTTTCAACAGGTAAGACATTCATCTAAATATGTACATTAAAGATGGATTGATAACTCAGAGGACCTTATTACTTGTGTGACCTTGGTCAAATTATTTCATTTCTCTGGGCTTCAGTTACCTAATATGCCAAAAACTGGGTTGGTCTAGGTGACCATTATGGTCCTTCCAATTTATATAACCAGGGAGTAGGGTGAGACATAGTAAATCATTCTTCTAATTCTCCTTAGGCCTAGGTTCATCAACAAATCAGTTGAGTTTCAGAGTAGCTGTTCCAAAAAAGAGGCAGAACTGAGATAGTGGCCACTCTGTTCTGCATCCAGAGTGACAGCAAACCCCCCCACATTAATAACCATCCTCCAAGGCACTGTCAACCAGGAGCTACTTCTCAGATAAATCTTCCAGGCTTTTGTGTTAGCATGGTATAATCTTGTATTTTATCAAGCCAAGGAATGGGACTGGGTTATCTTAAGGCCTATTACTCAGGTACCATTATGGCTAAGGTCACTGAAGGTCTAATCTTAGAGTTTATGATTTTATAGAAATGTGACTGCTGACTAGGACACATGAGCATGGAACCCATTCCCAAGCTATGTATATTTTAATAAGGATCTTTGGTACAGAATTATAACTGATGGTCTGTCCTTTCACCTTCAAGTCTTGGGGAACCTACTGGTTATTAGGTAATGGTGCCGATAGCCCCTTCTGGCGCTGGCAGACAAGAATGTTGGCAGGCAGCTAACTATCATTGATATTGTGGTCTCCAATGCCCTGCTCAATTGGTTCTAATACCTGGGTTAGAGCTAGGAGTGAGTAGTTAAGACAAGTGGCTGGATGGCCATGAAGCTGTGGGGTAGACTCCAGAGGTGTTTTCTGTCCAGAACGGTGATAGATGATTCCCAAAAGGAGCTTTCATCATTCTTCTGTCACCTTTCCTCATTGCAGTCAATGTGGGTACTCACAAAGTTATTCCTTGAGACTAAAAATGAGGGATTGTTTCTCCCTAAGACAATGACTCCTTTCCTCTGAATATAAATCCCAGAACTTGCTCTGGCTCAGGGGAGATTGACTGAGGGAGAGCATACAGGAGGGCTTTTTCTTCTGTCTTGGCTCTTCAAAGGAGTCAAGGACCAGAGAGGAAAGGAATGCATGCAGTTTTTTACCTAGTGACACTGAGTGTTAGTGGGCTACCTGTAAGTCCAAAGAAGTGGCCTAGATGACTTAGAAGTTTACAAATATCAAATCCTTATATTTGTCTCTTTCAGGAAAACGGATATGTGCTGGTGAGAGTCTGGCTCGGATGGAATTATTTTGTTTTTTACTACCATCTTACAAAATTTTACTTTGAAATCTGCCATTGACTCAGAAGATATCGACACACCCCAATTGCCAGTGGATTTGTCAGAGTGCCCCCTCCTATGAGCTCTGCTTTCTCCCTTCCTAAAACATGTGAAGGACTAGCCCTAGTTCCAACTGCTCTAGAGTCTCCTCATGTTTATGAACAAGATGTATTCATTCCATTGCCTGCCAGTGAAAGCCCTCTATGCTTTCAGCCCAATATGCTCTTCTAGCATAATCTAATACTGCCTTTGACTTTTGCCAAAATCATGATTTAACTTTCCCCATCCTTCCCCAGAAATTCCCCATTCTGGGAATATTTCTTCTTTTTTCTTCACTTCACTTCAACTCCACTGGCAGAAATCTCACCCACCCTTGAATCACAATTTAGGTGCCATATCCCTGTGACCTTTTTAGTTCTTACAGTCTGTACAATTCAATCTAAGCCTGAATTATACATATGCATCTTACGTTGTGTGTTCTTTCAGATATGTTTATTGATCCCATCTTGTGCTCCTCCCCAGATCTTAAGATTCTTTTCAGTAGGGCCTCTATCCTATACTTGTGTGTAGTTATCTACCATCAGTTAGTTAGGAGCCATTTTCTGCTCATTAATTGTCTCATGTTATATACTTCAAAATATACATGTATCCTACTATGATGGCAGCTTAACTGCTCACAATGTGATGTCAGTGAGGTGGCACCTTGGACAGGGTCTTGGACCTGGAATTACAAAGACCTGAGTTAAAATCCAGCCTTAGACATTTACTGGCTATATGATCCTGGGAAAGTCATTTCACCTCTGTTTGCTTCAGTACCTTTATGTATAAAATGGGGATAATCATAGCACTTATCTCCCAAGATTATTGTGAAAGGATCAAAGGAGTTGATAATTTTTAAGCATTTAGTACAGTGTCTGGCACATTGTAAGTGCTATATAAATATTACCAGAAATTGTTATTATTACAACAATAGCTACTACTACTATTACTCCCAGTACTAGTACTACTACAACTATTACTATCATTACTACTACATATTTCAACTTCATACTCTAATTAAAAACTAGAAAGAGAAAATGATCTACCGTTCACCACCTAAAAGAGAGCCTGGATGGAAAACTTACAAGAATTTCTTGCTCAAATTTCCATACTCCCAGATTAAGGAGATCATATTACAAGCAATAAGAAAAAAAAATTTAGACTCTTTAGAGATACAATCAGGATCTCACAAGATGTAGCAGCTTTTCCATGAAAAGCCCATAGGTTTTGAAATAATATATTTCAAAGAGCAAAAGTGCTGGGGTTGTGAGCAGGAATTACTTATCCAGCAAAGTTAAGTATAACTATACTATATCTATTTATGCTATACTATATATTTGGATGATATATCCAAAAATTATATATTTGACAAACTGAAAACCTTTCAGGTATTTGTGACAAAAAGACTAGAACTCAATGTTAAATTTGATACAAAAGATCCAGAAGAAAGGTAAGAAAAATATTAAAGAGTAATTATAAGGGACTCATTAAGGTCAAACTGTTCACATCTTATATATGAAAATGCTATTAGTATTCTTAACAGTGTCATCAGTACTAGGGTAGTTTGAAATAAATGTTGGATCTGAGTTGTCTGTGATGGGATAAAAAGAACAGTTATCTCAACAATGGAACATGAAAGAAAGAACTGATGCAAGAAGAAGCAGATGGAGGTGGAGGACTGCTAATGTTGGAATCTCACTCGCTTCAGATCTTGGTTGAAGAGGAAACTTTACATCTCATGGGATGGAAAAGTCTTCTGGATCTGTAGAAGAAGGGTTGGGGAGGAAATTTTAGAAGGGTGTGTGGATTAAGATTTGAAAGTCTTGGGGGGGAAACAGTGTATAGGGGGGAGGATAAAAGAGAGACTCAGAGGAGTGAGTAGAATGAAGAACAGAAGGGTAAGAGGAGAAGACAGAGTTACAGGGATGTTCCCAAATACTAATTATAACTTTGCATGTGAATGGGATGAATTCATCCATAAAATGGAAACAGATAGCAGAATAGATTAAAAGGCAAAATCCAATAATATGTTGTTTACATGAAACACATTTAAGAATGAGAGATACACACAGTGTGAATATAGAGTTAGAGTAGAATTTAGTATGTTTCAGCAGATGCAATCATGATCTCAGAAAAAAGTTATGGCTAATATAGATTTAATTAAAAGAGATAAACAGGGTAGATACATTTTGATAAAAGGTACTATGAATAATAAAGCAATATCAATACCGAACCTATATGCATCAAATGATATAACATCCAAGTTTTTAAAAGAAAAGTTAAATGAATTACACATGGAAGTAGGTAGTAGTATTATAATAGTGGGAGATTTTAACTTTTCCCTCTTGGAACTGATAATCTAACACAAAAATAAATAAGAAAAAGTCAAGGAAGTGAAAAGAATTTTAGGTAAACCAGATATGATAGATATTTGAAAGGACTTGAATGAAAAGAGAAAGAGATAAACATTTTTTCTCAGTACTTCATGGTATCTTTACAATAACTGACCACATATTAGGAGATAAAAATTTTATAGTAAAAGCAGAAATATTAAAAGTGTCCTTTTCAAATCATAGTGCAATAAATGCTGTTAGCATGCAGAGAAAGAACTAATAACAGAAGTATATATAGAATAAATTTACACATATATACATATTCATGTGTAATGGTAGTGATCTCTAGGTTGGGGAGCTGGACAGAAGAAAAAGATAGGAAAAAGAAATTTACATTACTTTATTACATATTTAAAAGGAATAGCAAGTTGTACATAATAGATTTGCAGTTTCATGTGCAATGACCTTTTTTTTTTTATACTGGTACGGAAACGCGTTTTATTCCACAAATTTAAAATGAAATAAATAAAAAATTAAAACATATATTCCTTTCCAGAATGGTATGACCAATTCACAGCTCTACCAATGGTCTATCAATGTGCCTATTTCCCTGAAGGACTGTGTCTTCTCTCGTTATGAACCTGAAAAATATCAGTACACACATATGCGCGTGCACACACACACACACACACACACACACGCACAGCAGTTGTTGTTTTGCAGAAACATCATAAGTCTAGGTATTTATTCCTTTTTTATTCTTCCCCTCCAAGAGAAACAGAGGAGTAGAGCTAGATCTTCCTGGACCATGCCTATGTCCTCCCACTGGATCAACTCAGTCTTTCCCTGAAGAAGTAGCACATACTTATTGACCCAACAATATCAGTTCTAGACTTGTACTCCCAAAGAGATCAAAGACAGAAGGAAAAGTCACTCTCTCATCTACCCTAATTTTCTTTGAGTTGGAGGCTGAAGATTTTTGCCCAGAGCATGTTTAGAGGGACTTAGCTACGATAAGAAATATGCACATAGTTTTAATCTAAGCTCAATGGCCTGCAGGTCCAAGTGGGTCCTTTCTCTGCTATTTTAGTGAGTTCAAGGATTTTGATTGTTAATATAAATCATCACTGCTTGGAGCCCCTAGATCACCATCCAATTTTGATTATTAGAGTTTGCTGAACACTGGATGTATCCTTCTCTGATTGACAGGGAAACCTAATTTAATTATTCCATATTTAAACTAACCACTGATGCTTGTCCCCAAATAATTCCCTTTTTTCACTTATGGTACTCAGCTAAACATAGGCAATTAAGAGCAATCATATATATCCTTATCTAGAGATAGCTATCTTTAAGGTATCCTTGAAAATAGTAAATAAACTGTTAAAAAAAAAAGAGGAAACTTTTAAAATACTTTTAAATAGAAAGAGAGGGAGAAAGGTAAAAAGGTAATTTAATAAATCCTCTGGAATCTTATCAAGGGAAATATTCACTAATGATTAGGTTGGTCGCTGCTGTCCTGTATGCCTAAAGATACTTAAATGGCCTGGTGGAGTCTAGACCCACTTAACAATATTCCCCTGCACCCCTGTCATCCACATTTCTTTGCATATGAGTCCTTTCTGCTTAATATCCCTGGGAGGGATAGAAACTAAAGGTAGAATTTCTATGGCACAGGGTGAGGAAACTCTCCAAGCTAGTAATTAAAAATTCCTCTCCTGTGGCAGAGACTGCAGTCCAGCTCTAGAGAGTCTAGTCTAGATCAACTCTCTACAGGTCTTTAGTCCTCTGGAACTATGAATGCCAGGGTCCTTAGCAAGAGTTCCAAAATTTCCTCCTGTCTAATTTTAATCTGAACTTTCTACTATCCTATTTTCTATGAATATTTCCATATACAAAGTACATACAAAGATGTACTTCATTCTATACCAGTTCAAAAATCTTCCTAGGTTTCTCTGAATGTGTTCCTTTTGTCATGTATTACGCCGATGGAATATCTCATTAATTCATATAGTAAAATTCACTCATTTCTTCCTTGATTGTTGAATATTTCTCTCTTTCCCACCCCCTTTCCTAGTTTCCACTTTTTTGTTACAATGAAAATCGTTGCCATAATTATTTTTGTACATATGAGACTTTTCCTTCTGTCTTTGATCTCTTTGGGAATACATGTCTAGAACTGATATTGATGGGTCAATAAGTATGTGCTACTTAGTCATTTTTTTGAGCATAATCCCAAATTTCTTTTTAGAATGGCTGGACCAACTCACAGCTTAAGCAATGGTACCTTCATGTCTGTCCTATATAACCTCTTTAACAATTTTCATTTTATATTTTAGTCATCTTGGTCAATCTACTGGGCATGAGGTAGAACCTCAGAAATGTTTCATTTGTATTCTCTAATTTTTAGTGATTTTGAGCCCTTTTTTTTCTTATAATTGTTGACAACTTGCATTTACCCCCACGGACTGCCTGTTTTATTCCATTTGTTGTAAAATGGTTCTTCTTCTTGTATATTTAAATCAGTTCCTTATAGATTCCAAGTAGCAGATCTTTGTCACAGAAAGTTTCTGCATTTTTTCCCATTTAACTCTTTCCTTCCTTCCTTCCTTCCTTCCTTCCTTCTTCCTTCTTCCTTCCTTCCTTCCTTCCTTCTTCTTCTCTCTTCTCTTCCTTCCTTCTTCCTTCCTTCCTTCCTTTTTCTTTCTTTCTCTTCCTTCCTTCTTCTTCCTTCCTTCTTTCTTCTTTCTTTTTCTTTCTTTCTTTTTCTTTCTTTTTTCTTTCTCTCTTTCTTTCTCTTTCTTTCTCTCTTCTTTCTCTTTCTCTTTCTCTCTCTTTCTTTCTCTCTCTTCTTTCTCTCTTTCTTTTTTCTCTCTTTCTTTTCTCTTTCTTTCTCTCTTTCTTTCTTTCTCTCTTTCTTTCTCTTTCTCTCTCTCTCTCTCTCTCTCTTTTTCTTCTTTCTTTCTCTTTCTTTCTTTCTTTCTTTCTTCTTTCTTTCTTTCTTTCTGTCTCTCTTTATTTTCTTTTTCACAATATTACTGTAGTTTCCTTAGTATCAATTCTCCAAGGGTCGGGAATCTGCGGCCTTGAGGCTGC